TGGGCCGGGGATTTAGCTCAGTGGTTCCACCGCCTGCCTTGCAAGCATAAGGACCCGAGTTTGATGCCTGGTACCAAGAAAAAAAATACCGTATGACTGCATTTACATGAGGTAATCTCTAGTAGAGACCTTCATAGAGACAGAGAATGGAACAAAAGAAATAATTGAATGAACAGATTTAACATGTAGGACTTTAAACTAACTGAAGGAACAGTGGAACACTGATCTATTGGTGCAAGACTCATTCTAAGGAAACTTTTCTCTCATATCGTGAGGAAAAGAAGGCAAAATATGTCACTGTGGTCAAAATCAGTACACCTAGACGTGTTGGCAAACCTTTTAGAGCTATCAATGATAGCAAACAGTCTGCTGCAGCACACGTGCCATAGGTTCACCACCAGTGCCCTAGACACTGAAAGTACAAAAAGGAAGAAACTTCTAGAAAAGTCTGACAGTGTCAAAGATGAGCCCTAAAGGACAGAAAAGATCCAGAGCACTGCAAAGAGAAAGGCACAGGGTTACTGCCAGGCACCGACATCATTTTGCACAGTGAAGATTTCCAGATTAGAAACTAAAGAGATGGTTATTCAGTAAAATGTCAGGGCTGGCAGACTTTTTTCTTAATGTCCACATAGTAAACATTTTAGCCTTGTAGGCCTAGATCTCTGTGGCAACCATTCATGAAAACAGCCTTAGGAGACACAGACAGTGCGTACACGACTGGGCATGGCAGTGGTCCAATAGGACTTTTTTTTACAAAAACAGATGGCTGGCAGGGCTGGGGATTTAGCTCAGGGGTTCTGCTGCCTGCCTTGCAAGCGCAAGGTCCCGAGTTCGATACTCAGTACCAAAAAAAAAAAAAAAAAGGGTGTATTGGAGTTCTCTATCATTCTTAAAATTTTTCTGAGGGCTGGGGATTTAGCTCAGTGGTTTCGCCGCCTGCTGCGCAAGCAGAAGGACCTAAGTTCGATCCCCGGTACCAAAAAAAACCAAAATTTTTTTCTGAAACTCTGAAACTATTCCCATATAAAAAAATTTGTGTGTCACAAAAAATTTTTTAAAAATAATCCAATACCCAGGGATTTAGCTCAGTGGTGCTGCCCCAGTACCAAAAAAAAAGGTAATCTGATAGAGGGTCAGGGGGGTGTAGCTCAATGGCAGTGTAACTGCCTGGCAAGCGGAAGGTTGAGTTCAATTCCTAGTACTGAAAAAAAAAAGGGAAAAAAAGTAATCTGATAAAAACTAAGCGCTCAACCAAATCATTTTATCACCAAAAGTCTATTAGAACCTTTCAAAATAAAGACTAAGGAAAATTACAATGTATGGAATGGAAATCATGACAGAAATAAGCTACAGCAGGAATCATGGGGATGCTTTAGTCCATTAAATAAATAACTGAAATCAAGGGGGTGAAAATGGAAACAATTCCCTACTATTTCATGAATGCTCAATACCATAGTGTGTTATCATAATTAACACAACAAAACAAAACATTAACAACAATGATCAGCTGTATTACAGGTCCTGAAGAAGGTTTCATGGTGAAACATGACTGCACTGAATCATAGGCACTGCTGACTGAAGTCAAAGACACACACACACACAAACAAACAAATCACAAATACTTACTTTGTGCAGTAGAGTTGTGACATTTCCTCTGATAAACACAACGGATTTTTCTTTCAATTGTGCAACAATATGCCTTGAGTTAACTAATGTGGTTTCTCCAAGTAACTTTTACAAAATAACAAAGAAAAGAATCATTAGGTCCACTTCCATGATTCACTCTGAAAAGTTGTTTCAAATATTAATTTTGATCAAATATTAATATTGATTTTATGCAAAAAGAATTAGCATTTCATTTATAATATGAGAAAGCTGGGCCTTGTATGGAGGATTGCATGGGAAGGGGTGAAAAGTTATTTTTTAAAGTTCCGTGTATCCAACTAAATTTGCTGGAAGGTAAGTTAGGTAGAACTCTTAAAGACATTGGCATAGGAAAAGACTTTACGAACAAAACCTCAGTAGCACGGGAACTAGCACAAAGAATCAACAACTGGGATCTCATCTTATTAAAAAGCTTCTGCACTGC